CCTTTTGACCACACGCGAGTTCGATTGCAGAATGTTCCGAATGGGAGCTGCGATTACGTCAACGCCAGCCACGTCAAGGCCGAGTTCTCGAATCGACGGTACATTGCAACACAGGCGCCTATTCCTGCAACCTTCAATGATTTCTGGCGCGTCGTATGGGAACAGGATGTCCGCGTGATTGTCATGCTCACAGCCGAGGCTGAAGGGGGACAGGTCAAGAGTCATCTCTACTGGAAACCGGGCGAGTACGGTCCCTTGAAGCTTAAGCAGCTATCAGAGCGCCAGGTGAGCTTGGAGACGAAGAAATTTGCGAATCAACTCGCACCGACAAGCAGACCATCCATGGCGCCCAGAAGATCGACGACGGCCAATATTCCGGGAGACCGAGGTCGAGAGGACGTGAAGTCGCCTACTTCCAAAACGCCCACTGCGATGGTTCGCCATTTCTCATTAAGTCATTCGGCATTTCCCTTCCAGCCCATGCGCGAAATTACTCAAATTCACTATTCCGACTGGCCAGATTTTGGTGCCCCGGCAAGCCCTCTGGAGCTACTTGGACTCGTAGAGCAAGTCAACAAGTATGTCCGAGGATCTGGGACTCCGTCCAATGTCGTAGGACCAGACGACGCGGCGCCTGCAGGGCAACGGCCAATTCTGGTCCATTGCAGTGCAGGTTGTGGGCGGACGGGCACTTTCTGCACGATTGACTCTGTCATTGACATGTTGAAGCGACAGCGACTTTCTCACGAAGCCGGCGGGGATAAAATGGACGTCGACAATGGCGATTGGGTGAATCGGGATGACGTTGATTTGGTGGCGAAGACAGTGGATGACTTCCGCCATCAGCGACTGAGCATGGTACAGAATTTACGGCAATTTGTTTTATGTTACGAAAGCATATTACAGTGGCTTGTGATGCAGGATTCGGAGCGCCAGAAGCGACCAGGGCTACCAGACCCAAGACGGAGTTATCACGGTTGAGACCTCTTTTTTTTTTTAAAAAAAAAAAACCAAACAAACAATTAAATAAACCAAGGCCACGGGACATGATTGTACGCTGAGCATGGAATAGGATGCATATTTGCCGTCTTTGGCAGCGGGTAGGTTTTGTTTCGTTGAAGGATCCTCCAAAGCCAGCTATGCATGGCTTTGGGATGCATAGCATGCATCGTATTTGACATTGTTTGGGGACCATTACAGGGGCATGCATAGCGCCACAGGTGTGAGAACTTGTTTTTGGATACCAAGGTTCGCCACGAATCGACTCAAGAATCTCATCTTCGCCTGCCGGATCTCAATCTTGGCTGATCTTCGTTGCTCGTCTAGCCAACGTCGGTAGGAGCAACAGGAATCATAGGTAGACTTCGCTTTGCTGAGCTGAGCACACCGAGTTGGCATACGGGGATTTGGTCTAGAAGGCGGCTGTGATCGGATGCAACATGTTTGTTCCTGTTCGCGAAGGGAAGGATCTGCATGAACGCGCAGTGGTTATATTCGATTACCTTGCGTCTTGTCCTGGTCCTGGTGTCGGTTCCCGGGTCCATCTGTTGGTTTTGCACACTCCCCTGACAGGACCGTTGTTGCCCGGGCTTCAGTTCGAGGAACAAATATAACATATCTGTGTACCGAGGACATGCGTACGAACATCCTCCTGCTGACTTTGAGATTCTCCGTAGATCCTCCGGGCACTCGGCGTGCGCGCCCGAACAGCGCCCGCCGAAGGAGCCTGAAGGAGTCCAAGGCCAAGGGAATAACGGAGGTCCAAGAAATCCTTCCAAATCTCTCCCAAATCTTGAGTCAGTGGTGCTAATTTCCAAAATTGGTAGCCCGTTGTTGCAAACATGTCTAAAAGATTGCCATCTCAGCAAGCCCTGGGCTGGTGGGTTTCTGCTTCGCCATTCGCCCCGTTGGCTGTGTTCGTTTACCGGTGTGATCCTTGTGTGGCTTGCTGAACCCCCAGCCGCGATGATCAACAGCTGAATTGGTCTCATTGGACACGATAGGCCACGCTGCACTGGAACTTCGGTTAGATTCAGCTCTCTGTCTATGCTTGTTCGAGGATAGCGAGCCTGTCAGCACTACTATCGAGCCACTTTCTCTTTCTCGTGGGTTCTCAATTGCGCTCGCTGCTTGTCCAAATCTCCCTCTAGAAGCAGCAACAGACAACTTCCCTGTTTACCGTATGTCCAAGAGGTCGTCAGTCCGCCACAGCTTTTCGCAGCTGACTGCAAAGAGGCCGCTGTCACAATATAACTCGACGGTTTTCTCCCGACTTACCCAGCACAAGAAGCAAGACATGTGCCCCCCCTTCCGGGTTGCCTGTTCCACAAGAGCGGCCACAATGAGACGGACACGTCGGCGCCGTTGCCCGTTTGATAAGCAGCCAAGACTCTAAAAGGTCGAGGTTCGCTGGCTCCGACCGGTTGGCCTGAAATGAAATGGCCTTTTTGGCTGCTCCCCAAGAGGCTTGATCGTCCGCCTAGTGACACGTCTCCTTCGAAAATAACAACACGCGGCAAACAGGCTGGAGGTGATCACCTTCCTCATGCAGGCTTGTATACGGAGCACCCAGCAACCAAGGCAGGTCCCACGGGTTGGGCGTCCAATCTAGTCGTCTCCGTGAAGGAGGTACACGCATCCCCGGCTTTCAGAATACGAAGGAGAAGCTGAAAATCCCATGCAAACTTGGCTTTGCAAGGGACTCGCCTTCAGCCACTACTCCAGACAGGGTAAGTGAATAAACTGCGAAGTAAATTGCTTGTTGATGCAAGGCGCCATGCCTTTTCAGCCCTGAAAACTCAAATTGCGTGCCCACGATGCCTAAAGAGCGTCGTCGTGTTATAAAGCATCTCTTCTCCCCGCCTTCGTTCCACTTGGGATTTGGCCACGCACCTACTCACGCCGCCCGTTGGCCGCCGTTAGTCATACTGTCATCCTTTTACGCTCAGGTCACGGATTAATATACCATAATCTTATTCCTCCCATAAGACGCTTTCTGATTAATTTCTACAAGTACTTCAAAGTCGAGGCTGTCCCAATACGGACGCATAATTTCGATACATCGTTGTCAGAGACACTCTCAGATAATCACGAAACTTACGCCACGATGTCGAATTATTTACCACTACACGTTGCCATGTCCTTCTTGATGGTCGACGCGGTCATTGAAGTTGGGTTTGTCGGGTCCATGGTCGGCTTCTTGCACGACCGCGCAGGCAGATTCTTCACCATCGATGCTCCCAACGGCACTTTCGACCTTCACGGCAAGCCAAAGGGACTCCTCGTCGACCAAGGTCATACAAGCAACGGCGCTGCGGGAACCGCCCTTGTCCTGGTCGGCTTCTTGGGATTGCTTACGATTTGGAACGAGAAACGAAGAGCCAGAAGAGTACGTTGCGCCCATTCTTTCAGGTCCATATCCAGAAGTCTTCCTGCTAACAAGTGACTCCAGACACAAGCGACCAACCACTCGGGCCTCTTTGTCTTCTGGGTTGTTATGACCGTTCTTTCCGCTCTCCTCACCCTTGCCGCATTAATCTACACCTTTGTGGTCACGGCTCAGACCGACGACCAAACGATCAACCTAACCGTCGCGGCGGCGAACCCTGAGCCGTTGATGTACCCGCTCGACAAGTGGACCCCCGAAAACTGGTTTGTCGCGGTACTCGCGCTCCCGCTCGCGCACGCCAGCGATCGTCGCGACATTCGCAATCACCTCCGCCTGATGAGAGGGTGGAGGTGGAACCTCATTCCGCTATTCATCCTCGGAGTCGTGGTTGCCGTGCTGGCCGTGTGGGAGTTGGTCGGCGGACGGAAGTGGAGGCAAGGCGATTCGAAGGAGAAGCTGAGAAATTCGACGCAGAGTCAGCGCTATTAAGTTGTGCCCTCGTCCCCTTCTCGCATACTCGGCCATGATTCGAGGTATCTGAATTGGGGAACGCGAGACTGATTGCTTCTTTGTTATCGGATACCCCCTCCTCCAGCCAAGCAGCTTATTGCGTATTGACGTTTTTTCTACTTTTCTCATTTTATTGGGCATATATTTTTCGAGCAAGCAAGCGAGCGCGTACTGGGACAAAACACAAAACCTGGAAAGCAAGATTGTGCAGGGATTTCGACACCATACCTTCCTGATGACTTTTGACGACACGACCCTCTCTTTTTCATCGTCTTCTGGACGGGACATATATACGTACGTACATGGATATAATCTCTCGGGCAAGAAAGGTAGTACGAGGTAAATTATAATGCCTATTGGTATTATCTGCATACGTATTTTGCCCTTTCTTGAAGAGCTTGCGGGTTTTGCGCGGCAGAGGCTGTTGAATGCATGTCGTCCCATGCACCCCCATCCTATAACCCCACCCAGGTGTTGTCCATTGCAAATTTGCTCTTGGTTCCAAATGCGGAAGAAAGAGAAAGAAAATCGCTCTTCAGGCCTCCCGCCCGGTGTTTACCAAAGAACAAGATAAGGGGAAGAGGAGCGAGTGGTTACCGAAAGGCACCTACGCGATGATGATGATGATGATGATGATGATGATGCTGATGACTCCGAACTCCGTACATGCTGACTTAGCCGCAATTTAAAAATAAGGCGGGTCCTCGGATAGGAATTATTGGGATTGTGGACCCCGAATGTGACCAGGGCGATTGTCCGATGGGTTGGTTCAGTGGGCAATCCAAAGGCCAGGGGCATCGGCATGGCCATGTGGGTGCCTGGGGTTCTGTTTAAGCCACCCAAACTGCCGGCCCTCGGTGACGTCGCAGGGCTACCAGCGTCACGCTTGGATGCGAGGCTCAGCCTCGTATTTCTGGGGGACGCGGCTGCCTGGCGGCAATCGTATAGGAGTTCCTGAGTACGCATGAGTACATACTACGGTACACAGCCCTTCCTTCTGTATACGTGCGCGAGAGGTACGCAGCCCGCTTCTACAGACGTCCAAGTAGTAACATGTCCGCGGATATTCAAGAAATTGATGCAGAAGTAACAAATTTTCGGCATGAACGACTGGAGCAATGTGCTACGGCCATTCGTGTAATTCGAGTGTTGCCTGAGCCTGCAGTCGACAATGGGGCTCATTTCCTAATCAAACAGCCCCCCATACATTGCAAGGTACACTGCTCTCTCCTACGTCGGGGGAGAAAAGGACTACGGCAGTCAAGAGACAGTAATAGTCAATGGCAAGCGTTTTAAGACCCGAGAGAATCTGTTCGACTTCCTGAGGCATGCCAAAATCAATTACAGTCATTGCGACATATGGATCGACACTCTTTACATTGACCAGACCAATGTCAAAGAACGAAATCACCAAGTGGGTCTCACGGGGGAGATCTTCGAAGATGCCCAAGAAGTCGTAGCGTGGCTCCGGGCAGGTCTGCCAGTGCGACAAGAGGAACGGGAATTGGTTGTAGCCTTGGAGAACGGGACACTGAACCTTGCCGCGACCCTTCGCACAACCCTGATTCCCAGTCATCCCACTTGGCCTCTGGCCCACTGATAGAGGATGCCGTTGATATTTGGCTCAGTATTTGTAGCGGCAACTTCTGGTCACGGGTGTGGATCATCCAGGAAGTAATACTACCGAAGAATCTTCACCTGGTGGGGACATTCTGCACAGTTTCATGGGACACGTTCGTCAAGACTCTGAGATTGGTGACAGGAGTACCTTCGCAGCTGACTTCGGCTGCAAAACCCGCAACAAAGCTTGCTGAACTCCGATCTGGTCAGAGGCGGCCTACGCTGGTGACGCTGGTGTCGGATTTTCAGTCTTTGCAGTGTCAAGACTATCATGATAAGGTATATGGGCGCCTTACAGTCACATATAACGGACTCTACTATCAACCATCCCACAGCTTGAGCTCGCCAGAACATTATTTCCGCACTCTCCAGTTCTGTCGAGACTTGGGCTGGTACCTCCAAGGGGAGGATGGGTACTTTCTTCTTGCTAGGACGCTCATGGAGGTGTTCCATATCTCCGCCAGCAGACTGAGCGAAGGGTATAAACGCCAGCCTCGAGCGTACCTTACCTGTAAAATTGTCATCTCGAAATTTACTTTGGTCGGCTATGAAGAACCGCGGGGCGTACCTCACCTTGTCTGCGAGCACTGTTCCCTCCACACGCTGCTATCAACCACACCCGGCGAAAGTGATATTTTGTGCTGTTAGCATGGGGAAGGCACCACAGGTCATATCCTGTTTGCAGCGGAAATCACCGACTAGACACCAATTTTGATACGTAGCTGTCCGGGACGAGAGATCGCAACGTCGTTAGCAATGCCGTCATATGCATTCGAGACACATCCGTCCCCAGACTCCGTCTTCACACGCCAACACGACGATCTGCAGACCGTACAGCCGCCTGGGCCCACGAATGCCCCCATTCTCCCAACTAAAACTCACCAAGAAATCATTCCTGCGAATTCTACAGCGGGAGATTCTAGAGATGGGGAGTTTACTGTCAGAAATGAGCAGGGTGCAAGACTTGACAATTGAATCGAGGTTCCCGGACGAGTACGGAATGGTACTGGAGTCAGAGGGAGACGAGTGATCTCTGAAATCTTAGCAGATCCCTGGTGACAGCTTGATGATTACACTATGTATGACAAGCGGGCCGAAGTAGCGGAAAGCAACCGACAGTACACAGTGTCCGGACGTATCGATGCGCTGAGTCCGACGCAGCATCCTTCTCGATGAGGAGCCGCGCCACCACTTCATAGCCGATAAGAGAAGTCCACAACATCGGTGTGCTATCGGTTTTGTCCATTGAGTCCACGGCAGTGCCATGCTCGATGAACAGCTGCCAGCAGCGTAACCTGGTCTTCGGTGTACAATGCGTGGTCTCAGAGAGGGCGAGTGAGACGGTGCGGATAGTAAATGAATTGTGGAACGTGTCTGTCTGGTGGGTTGTCTGTCCTGTCACCCTTGAAGTGAAACGTGACGGCGATGGTCTGTTCGGTATCGATTGTCAAAGTGCTGTGGCAAACAGGTCAAGTCGCTCACCTTGAGAGCCACTAACGAATGCACTGTTTCTCTTGGCGGCGTGCGTGCGTGCGTCTCCCAGAAAGAGGAGTGATGGCGCCGGTCAATCTCAAGGGGATCTTTTTGAAGTGAGGGAGTGAGTTGACGTGGGCAGAGCGGTTGGAAAAACAGTCCTCGCTCAGCCTTGTGCTTCCCCCTTTTTCTCTCCATGTCTCTTGTGGGGACGCGACCGGGGGTCTCTCGGGATCTCTTCCCGGACCCAAGAAAAAACATAACAGAACAAACCTCAAAGGCATCCACATCGCCGACGACTCTTGAAGACAATCCGGCAAATCATCCGTTAATAGGCAACTAGTAGATTTTAACTTGCTGTATTTGACCTGGAACTGGCAACGGGAAAGCCCCTTGTTCTTGGAAGATAACTACATCCTCAACTCATCCTTCGACTCGAAAGATCTCCCAAGATGATGAAGCCAGACACGATAGAAACCAGACTGTTCATCAACAACGAAGTATGTGTTGCGTTGTGTTGGCTTGTCCCTGAGAAAGAAAAAATTTGCCTTGAACATCCGACCCTGACATCATCCTGCCAACACCCATAGTTCGTCCCAGGCAACCAAGGAAAGACATTCAAAGTCTGCAACCCCTACAACGACCAGGAGATATGCATCGTCCACGAAGCAACCAAGGAGGACGTCGACCTCGCGGTTGAGGCCGCAGAGGCTGCATTTCCCCACTGGAGCAACATCGCAGCCCATGAACGGGCGGCCTATATGTTCAAATTTGCGCAGCTTGTGCAAAGAGAGGCGCAGCAGCTTGCTGAGTTGGATTCCATGTGCATGGGAAAGTAAGGAAGAAGGGGCTCCTCTCTCCCAGCCTTCCTTGTTGTTTGCCGCTAGACACAGTCGCGAGTGGCTAACCTACATCTCCCCATTAAGGCCCGTTGAACTCCTCAAGAAAATGGACATCCCGGCGTGTGTCGGCGTATTTAATTACTTTGCAGGCAGCGGGTACCATGTTCTGGGAGAGTCGAGTCTCAGCTCCCCTAACTTCCTCAATGTCAGCGTGCGGCAGCCTTACGGCGTGGTCGGCTTGATTATCCCGTGGAATGTAAGTTCGCTTATCGCCAACTCAGTAGCGGACCTCTCTTCTTCCTCGCTTTTCAACGGCCAGAGTTAATCCCAGTGGCCGAACGGCAGGTCCCGATGATCATGTTCGCCTTCAAAGTCGCGCCGGCGTTGATCTGCGGTAACACGGTTGTGCTCAAATCGTCGGAAAAGGCGCCGCTGAGTTCACTGAAACTGGCCTCGCTCATCAAGGAAGCAGGGTTCCCGCCAGGGGTGGTCAACGTGGTCAGCGGATTCGGCGACCCGACAGGCTCCGCGATCGGTCTGCATATGAAGATCCGCAAAATCTCGTTCACGGGCTCCGTGGCCACAGGGCGGAAGATTCTTAAGATGGCGGCCGACTCGAATCTAAAGAACGTCTCGCTGGAGCTCGGCGGCAAGTCGCCCGCCATCATCTTTGAAGACGCCGATCTCGAGGCCGCGGCTAGGTATACGCACTACAGTATTAATCACAACAGTGGGCAGCATTGTCAGGCCAATAGCCGTGTCCTGGTGCAGGAGTCCATCGTGGACGAGTACATCGAGATGGTCAAGAAGTTAATGGCCAAAGTCACGCTGGGCGACCCGGCGGACCCAGGCACGTTCCAGGGCCCGCAAGTCGACCAGAAGCAGTTGGCCCACATTCAAAGGTTGATCGACCAAGGCAGCAAAGACGGTACACTAGTGTACGGCGGCAAACGGCGTGGCACGACGGGGGCGTTCATCGAGCCTACTATATTGAAGAATGTCCCGCTCGGCTCGGCGGCATATATGGAAGAGATCTTTGGGCCAGTGGTGATTGTGAATACGTTCAAGGACGAGAAAGAGGTCCTCGCCGAGGCCAACTGCACTGATTTTGGGCTGTTCTGTGAGTATTTTCTTCCTTTCCCCCTCCCTCCTCTCCGGGAGCCCTGTGTACATAGCCATATCCCATCCCCGCATACCCTTTCTGCCTCTGGACGGAACGACCGCCTGAATAACTAACTCACTCCCCCCTTTTTCGGTAACAGCCTCGGTGTACACGCAAAACTTCGACCGCGCAGTCCGCGTTGCCAAGGCCCTCGAGGCCGGCGCCGTGGGCATCAACTGCTCGGTGCCCGTGCGCGCTGTCGACATGCCCATCGGCGGCTGGAAGCAGTCCGGCATGGGCAAGGAGCTGTCCCTGCACGGCCTCAACACCTACACCGAGCTCAAGACCATCTTCATGAAGTACAACAGTGACCCGACCTCTATGGCTGTCGGAAGGTGGCACTCGGGCCAGCGGGTGGATATGAATGGGGATGGGAGCTTGTAGGCTTACTTTGTTGCAGGCTTCGGAGGAAATTTAGTCTAGAGGGTCTTGTCACCTCTTTTCTCGGTGACTTTATAGATAATAGAGAGAGAGAGAGAGAGAGAGAGCGCTCTAGTAACTTAGAGGCCGAGCCGAAGCACCAATTGCACACTTTGCGTTTCATATTGCGCTTTAGATGTCCACTTGCCCCAGCGCGACAGGCTCGTGCATAGGCACTTTTACCCAGTGCTTGCTCTATAGGATCCCGTCGTTCGATCTTCCAATGTGGTTGTCCAACACAGGTACACACGAGATGCCACAATACCAACACACCCGAAAATATCGACCAATTCTATAAATCATGTGCTGCCACCGCCCCCCCTGAGATCCGCGACCAACTTCCCCATGACCTCGCCGCGCCGGATCCTGTCCAGCGCGACGTTGATGTCGCGCAGGTCCACGACCTCCAGCTCCGGGACGACCCTGCCGGCCGCGAAGATCTGCAGGGCCTCCTTCATGTCGCGTTTCGTGCCCGTCTGATTGGAGCGCACGAGCAGGTCCTTTCGCAGGAGCGGTCGCAGGGACATGCTGGTAGGTGGCGATCGTGGTTAGTAGTGTAGTAGTCGTGGTGTGGGACTGGCATGTGTGTGTAAGAGAGAAGAGGGGGGAGGGTCCTTCTCACTGTAAATTCCCAATTCCAATGGCCATTATCTGCGCACCGAATCTGGCGTACTCTCCCGCGGCACTGGCGGTTCGCGTTAGCGAGATCGTGGAGACTCGTGTCTCAAGAGGGAGGGAGGCATGAGAAACCTACTCGTACGACGACTGATGCGGACTCAGAACGAGAATGTAATCCGCACCCCCCTCGGTCTTGTCGACAATCGTCTCGACCAGACCCGGAAGAGTAAAGTCGACGAAGACGTCGGCTCCCATCTTGGTACAAAACTGCTGCTTGTCCGGCGACCCGCCATCGATGGCCACAACTTTGAGCCCGATTGCCTTGGCGTACTGGATGGCCAAATGGCCCAGTCCGCCTGCTCCGCCGACAATCACGCACCATTTACCTGCCTGAGGGCTCATGCGCTGGAGCGCGGCGTACGCGGTAACTCCTGCGCATAGAATCGGACAGATGCTCGGTAGTGA